CGCTCCGCGCACTGCGCGGCGACTTCCCGCGGCCGTTGAAGGAGCTGCTGCTTTCAGAGTGCTCCAGGTTTCCCCTCCGTTGCACCTCGCGCGCGGGTGTTCGGGGTTCGGCCTCTTGCGGGGGTTTCTTGCGGCCGCGCCCACACTGTACCATGGATGTGGTTGCGCTGCCGGAGGCCTCGAGGTCGACACCAGCACCAGCATCGGCGGTGTGCCTCCACCGGGGGAAGACTATACTCCGACCTCGGCGGTGGTGGTGCCGGTGGGGCTTCCAGGGTGGCCGAAGCATATCACCACCAGCACCATAGAGCCTGGGGTCATCTTCCCCCTGTGGACCGGGGGCAGTGATAGGGGGGGATGGGCATAGGGGGGGGACCCCCAATCGCCCACTGATCGCCGACAGGGGCCCGATGGCCCCGACCCGCCCAGGCAGGTGCGGATGCGCTATCGGGGGCGCGTCGCCGATGCGTCGGCGGCGTAGCGCCGATGCCAGGTCGATGCGGCCCCCCCTACAGTCGGGGCGCTGAAGAAGGAACCCTTTTCGTTTGGGAGGGGCGCTGAACCCAGACCTCCTCGAGTAATGAAAAAATCATGACGGGAGGTTTTTCCCAATTTTCGGCCTCCGGGGGCCCTCACCGGGCCTCGGGAGCGTCAGAAAACGACTCAGGACGAGAAACCGGTCATGGGGCAAGGGTCGGGACCTCTGGGGGTCGACGTAATGAAAAAATCATTACGTCGGGGGTCTGGGGTCGGGGCGCTGAAGAAGGAACCCTTTTCGTCTGGGAGGGGCTCGGTGTTCCTTGATTGTTTCATAATTTGTCTTGGGTTTTCCTGAGGTTTTCCATGGGAGATAGAAGTAGATCTTATGGAAACAGGGGGCCTCGTTCCTTTATTTAGGGTTCCTTAGGTCAACGCCCCGACTGTATGCCAGTCCACTCCCCATCGTTGCCTCTCACAACCCCCTGTGTTGGCGTTGGTGCCCATCTCCAGGCCTCCACCGCCAGGGTGAGTGGTCTGCGACCGGCGCCGTCGGGGCCTCAGGGGGTGGCCACTGAGGAGGAGAAAAACCGCACGGACACAAGTAGTCGTCGATTTCCCAGAAAACATCGGTAAATATGGGAAGTGGGGGGAAGACAAAAAACCGTAAAATATTTGAAAGTATGGGGAATCCTGTTACTTGTGTGTATTTATTTGTGTGTCCCAGGGCCCCTTCAACCACGTCGCGCCAAAGGTTTGATGAGCCCTCGTCGGGGCGCGGCAGGGATCTCTGTCGAGGTCCTCGCCCGCCGCCCCGCAGGCGCGGGTTGCAGTCCACACGCTTTGCAAGAACCGCTCCCTTGGGAGTCGCCGACCAGGGGCAGAACAGCCAGCTGGAGATCACCGAGGAGCTACTCAAGCAGGCCCTGAATGATCCAGAGCTGGAGGCCGTGAGGATCCACGACCTGTGGCTGCTGCGCTCGGCTGGCAACGCCGAGGCCGACAAGTTCCGCAGCACCATGCTGCAGATCTTCCGGCAGCGCGACTCCGCGTCCAAGGACGAGATCCTGAGCATGTACAAAGAGATGCACCAGGAGCCCTGCAGGCTGAGCGGCTACCAGATGCGCACGCAGCTCCGGGAGATCGCGGAGAAGGAGAGCGAGGACAACGACACCTACTGGATCAAGGGCGTGCTGGCGAGGAAGGGCAGGCCGACCTTTCCCATCCCAGGGCGTCGGGCGCAGCCCTAAAGCGGCCAGCCGCCGCTTCCGGCGGAGCCCGTGGCCAGCTGGCACCCCGCCGCCACTGGCGGGCCTGCCGCGCCAAGGCGGGGCCCCGCCCCGGGCCGGCCATCTGGGCGCGGGGGCCGCGAGGGCCGGGCGGCCCGCGCTGCGGCGGAGCCCGGCGCCGCCGCTCCGCAGCGGGCGCCGCGGCCAGCCTTGGCCGGCCCGCGCGGGCCTCGCGGTGCCGCCGCTGGCGGGCGCGGGCGCGGCGGCACCGTGGTGGGCCGTCGGCGAGGTCGGGGTGAGCTGAGCCCCGTCCGCCGCGTCGGGGTCCGCAGTGGCCGCCCGCTCTCCGCAGTGTTCTCTCACTCCTCCCTCGCTCTCCTCCTCCTCCTCCTCCTCCTCCTCCTCCTCCTCCTCCTCCTCCTGCTCCTCCTCGTTCCCCGTTTTCCCCTCCTCCCCAGGGAAGGCGGAGCTCGTGATAATGGCGCGTTCCCAGATTCTCTATGTTTCCAGGACTCTCCAGATGTCCTAACGTTCCACGCCGGGTGCAGAAGGGAGGACCGCTAGGTCTATTCTGGAGCTCCTGGAATCGACCCGAGCCCATCGTGCCATGATGGCCGCCTCGTCCCAGTCTCATTCTCCTCCTCGCGACCCTGCCGCTGCAAGCAACCACGGCGGATGTCGTGGAGTTTCCTCGTGAGCTCCCGTCAGCCTGACCCCGGACGAGAGCGAGGACGCGAGGCCCCATCAGCCACACCTCCGGGCAGCGCTGCTGCGGAAGGAGGTCGGGCGGCGAGTCTCGGGCCGACGGTCTCGTGCGGGAGGCCCTCGCCGAGTCCGCCCCAGCGCAGGAAGCGACTAGAACTGCAAGGACAGCCTGGGGCTCTGGAGGGGGCATGGTTTTCGGGCCTCTCCCTGGATCGAGGTTGTGGAACCTATGCTTGGCTAGAAAAAACCCTTCGTTCTTTGTCCTGCGTTCCCTGTGGTAGCGCGACGACTCTGTACAGATGACCCCAGATCAACCGCATCGGCTAGCCCCCGCAGTGCAGCATCGCGGCGGGCTGGCACGAGGCACTGGTCGTGCGATGCTGGCGCAGGCAGCAGAACCAGCATGGGCAGCCTGATGACGTTTGGCGCAGTAGGTTCGTTTCGATTCGACCGGCGGCGACCCCGCCGCCGGCGTTCAGTGTTGAGCGTGGCGACCCAGAATCGGTCGATCCTTGAACGACCCGACGGCTCTGCGACGGCCGATCGTTCAAGGTGGAACGATCCCCTCGGTGTCCGGAATCAACGCCGTGCCTAGTTCGCATGAGGCAGGCTCCCGGGGTACACCTTAGGCGATGTTTAAGAAAACCTAAGTTTTCGTCCAAAGTCTCGATTATTCTTAGCTTTTCAATGTAAATCCCAAGATTTGTTGATAGAAGTTCTGGGTTTTATTCAATTTCTGAGACCATGAATTTCTTAACCCATGATTTCTTAAGCATTTCGCAGGGTGTAGAGGGGGCAGGCAGCAGGGCGGTCCCAGCCACAGGGACCGCCCCACTCGCCCAGGGCTTCACGCAGACGTTGACGACGAGAGCGGCGGCGACGACGAATGCGGCGACGACAACGACGACGACGACGACGACGACGACGACGACGGCGACGGCGACAACGGCGATGACGGCGACGGCGACGGCGACGGCGACGGCGGCGGCGACGGCGACGATCGCGGCGACGGCGACGGCGACGGCGACGGCGACGGCGATGGCGACGGCGACCACCACGGCGACGGCGGCGGCGGCGGCGACGAGGACGGCGGCGAGGGCGACCACCACGGCGACGGCGGCGGCGGCGACGAGGACGGCGGCGAGGGCGACCACCACGGCGATGGCGGCGGCGGCGACGAGGACGGCGGCGACGGCGGCGGCGGCGTCGGCGACGAGGACGGCGGCGAGGACGGCGGCGACCGAGACGGCACGGCTGCGCGCCGGGACCTCTCGCGGCCCCCATCGGCCCCGCCAGGTCCGAGCTGAGGGCGCCGCCGCCGCTGGGGCGTCCGCGGCGCCCGCGGGCCGGCCACAGCCCTCGGCGTCCGAGGGGGGGGCGCCCTCTCCAGGGGGGGAGATTCGATCTCTTTACAACCAGAACAACCACTTTACAACCAGATGGGTTACTTACTTTGCAACCAACATAGGATTGGAAAGTATGGTTTTTCATCGAGAACGTCCACTTTGCAACCAGAACGGCCCACTTTACAACCAGAGCGGACCACTTTACAACCAGAACGGACCACTTTACAACCAGAACGGACCACTTTACAACCAGCTCAGAGTGGCCGTGCGTGTTTGGGCGTTCCGCAAAATGCTCCAGAGCAAGTGGGCGCTCTGAAAAATGCCCCAGAGCAAGTGGGCGCTCTGAAAAATGCTCCAGAGCAAGTGGGCGCTCTCAAAAGTGCTCCAGGGCGCGCGGACGCTCTGAAAAGTGCTCCAGAGCACGTGGGCGCTCTGGAGCCCGAGCGCCTGAACTCTCTGCGCAGGCCCCAGCGATGCCTCTGAGCCCGAGCGCCTGAACGCCCTGCGCAGGCCCCAGCGATGCCTCTGAGCCCGAGGACCTGGACGCGCTGCGCAGGCCCCAGCGATGCCTCTGAGCCCGAGGACCTGGACGCTCTGCGCAGGCCCCAGCGATGCCTCTGAGCCCGAGCGCCCGGACGCTCTGAGCAGGCCCCAGCGATGCCTCTGAGCCCGAGCGCCTGGACGCTCTGGCGCTCTGAGCCCAGCAGACTAAGACAGGGCTTGCTAGCAGGGGCCAAGCGGCCTCAACAAGGGCCCCGTGCTCGCACGGGAATAAGGCGACAGCATACGTAGGAAGGCTCAGGGCGACGCGCTGCCCATTTAGGGATCACTCACAGGAAGCGAGCCCAGTGGCCTCCACAAGGGCCCAGCGCCCCAGGGAACTAG